GTGTTAACGTGCTCTGCGAGTCCACTTAAGGCCACATTCAAACAGCTAAAGTGTGATGATGTTTATGATGTGCTATTTCCATTGAGCGCGATATTATTAACGTTATATAGTACCCGGGTTGCCCACCATAGAAGATAATGCGCAACCATGCACATCCATGCATGATTTGCATGGAAAATGACTAATCATACGTAGCCCATACGTTGGTTTCGAAAACCCTCGAAATAGCTTTTTAACGGAGTAAAATAGTAATAAAACGATTTCTCATCGTTATGCAGGCTGTTGTTAAAATATCAAAAATTTTCACCATCCAAATCATACGTCGCAACATATATGGTGCTACGTATGGAAGAGATTTTTCACCACATTTTTTTTCTCTAGAAAACCGTAAATTAGAGGTTAATTGACAAAAATGACTGAGAAAAAGTATCTGTAGTGCAAAATACCCTTTTATTAGATTTTAATTTTTTTCTACAATGCAAACCATACATCGCACCATAAATGGCGCTATTTATGGAAACGATGTTTCCTGACAAAAACAACTTTAATAGAGAAGGCAACAGCACAACCAAAATTGACGAAATTTTTGTATATTTTGAGCTTTATTTGCATTTTCAAATTTTGAGGGGGGAGTAAGCTGAGAACATACTTTTGGAAAAAAATGCGTAACGATTGGTGAAAAATGTTTTATTTTAAATTTTCTTAAACCTTTTCTCATTCCGGAGCAAAGCTTTATTTGGTACGTCTTGAAACGAATTACAAACAAAACTCTGTTTTAAACAAACCGTGTCCGATAACCACAAGATATTTTAAAATTTGGATTTTTTCCAATAGTAATTCAATTAAAAAACTTAAAACAATATTTCCATAGAGGAAAAAATTTAAAAGAAACATTGAAAATTAACCAAACTTAATGTATTTTGTTGCCCTTCGAGTTTTTTTCTTACAACATTTTAGGAAGTGAACTCAGGTTCTATAGTTTATTTGAAACAATCGCCTTTTGAGGTGAATATTGGTTTAAAAAAATATTGATCTTCTGAGGTTTTTTTAACTTTTCATCAACTTGAAAGCTAACCCTATCCTTTTATCAGATACCTTTGAGAGGACAAGCTCAAATCTCACAACAGAGTTTTTTTTTGGTTTTGGAAGTCAAATTTGTTAGTGTTTTTTTCTTAAAAAAATCAAAGCAAATTTTTGAAGAAAAAAAGAATTAAAAACAAGCAAACGAGTCAATCTTAAATCTTTTAGCTAAGTAATGAATTTCAAAAATTTAGGTAATTCTCATGCAAAATATCATGTTTCGCTTGCCTCCATATATGTTTCCATGGTATCCATACGTTGTACCATAGTAACTATACATTGCAAGCTTCCATGGTGACATATAAATTATCAACAGCCCTAGTAAAAGTATCATTATTGTCTAATTTGAAGTCCCCCATACTTTAAAAAACGTGGAATCATACGTCGCGTCATGCATGGAAAATGTGTTATTTTAACATAAAAATACGTCGGCAATTTTTCATGGCTTCCATGGAACCATGCATGGTGCGACGTATGGTTGCACATTTCGGTCAACCCGGGTAATCTTATTCTTAGTGCCTTTTCTATTCTATTCAAAACGGCGTTAGTTAACGTCTATTCTACCGGTATAGTGTATCTAATTATTCTTTACATAACCTATCTATTTAAATTACTTTTTAATTTACTGTTTGTTTTTAGCCCGGATCTACTTAACAATCTCCCCCTTTTAAGAAAGGGGGGGGGGAGAGATTCTTTAGTTGGTACAATAGGGGGGAGATTGTTAAGTAGGTCCCCAGGGATCAATTTAACAATCTCCCCCGCCCCCCCCCCCCCCCTTCTTGAAACGGGGGAGGGGGGGAGATTCTTCAGTAGGTACAATAGGGGGGAGATTGTTAAGTAGATCCTTTAGCCCTAAAGGTTTTCTAATCAGCACTGGAATGGTTATCAGAGCATCAGGTTATCAGAGACAAAAATCAGTATTAATTGACTGTGCTTGACCTATGTTTAGACTGTGCTCGACCTTGGTTTTGACTTTCTCGACCAAAATCGGGTAGGTTTTGACTGTTTTCTACTTATGTTTCGACTGTGTTTGACCTAATATTTGATTTATTCCACATGCATGTGGAAAAATAGGCCACGCACAGTCAAAATCTACGAAGATTTTGACTAACCTCGTCTTAAGTTTTGATTTTTTCGACCGTATTCGGGTATGTTTCGACTGTTCTGAACCTATACTTTGACTGTGCTTGACCTATGTTTCGATTGTGCTCGACCTTTTTTGAACTATCTGGACTTACATAAATTGAATGTGCTCGCTAGAGCTAAATTTCGACTGTTCCCGACTTCTGTTATGACTTTCACGACCAAAAAAGGTATGTGTTGACTGTGCTTGACCTTTTTTATATTTTTTTAACCAAAAAAGGGTATGTTTCGATTTTCTCGACCCATTTTTTGACTTTCTCGACCTACGTCTTGACTGTCCCGGCTGAAATTGATTAAGTCCGGCCAGGCTGTGATCGACTTGTTTATAGACTTTTCTCGACAAAAGTCTGGCGTGTTTTGAATTAGCACTTGACGTATGTTTCGACTGTGCTCGATTTAGGGATTTAAGTTTTGAATGAGCTCGATTTATAATTCGACTGTGCTCAAAATATGTGCTCAAACTTTGCTTCGACTGTGCTCGACCTATTTTTCGACTGTGCTCAATCTATATATAATCAATCGAAAAAATGCACCTTCTCGACTTTCAAAGTCAAAAATATATGTCGAGCACCTCAACCCGGGTTAGAACCGTTTTTCAAAAGACTAACCTTTTCTAGAGGGAAAAAAACTTATGATAATTTTTATATATTTTCTGCTTTTTTCTGGAATTATTTCTCATCTGACTTTCTGTTTTCCAAAAAAAAATCAAAAAGCTGATTAAAGACTATTTGCCAACTCGAGCGGTGTCATAATGGGAACTTAACAAATTTAGAGTCTTCTTTGCTTGCTAAAATTTGATTTTCAAAGTTTGATGTGACAGACTTACTGTCTTCTGCCGTCTCCCAAATGTACTAACTGTAAAATACTTGGAAACGAATTTGTTAGCATAATGACTATTTCAACATACTTATTATCATTAGGATTATAATCATTTTTTTATTATTAAAGAGTATTAAGAGGTAGTGCTTACCAGTTGCCAACTGATGCGAGGAACCTCATGAGTGGCTTGTTGACGAACATGACGGCCACGTAGACGCAGTAGGAGAAGAAGAGGATGCCACACTCGAACAGCCGCAGTTCCCCATCCCAGGCGAAGCAGATGAACATGACGATGGACACTGCGTAGAAGATGGAGTCACGTGCCATCGGGCGCCAGTCTAGTTTCAACACCTGGTTAAAAACAACATCAAATTATGCTCCGAACGAACGAATTCAGTTTCAACTCCCAATTAATTTTTTTTTAAAGTTTTTCTAGACGCAGATAAAATGTTTCCACGAAATTTTTTCTAAAAACGCGGATAACATGTTTCAAAACTCTTCCTCTCCTGTGAAAAATTACTGCTTATACGATTGAATTAGAGGTTAACTCTTGATTATAGATTATTTCATTGGATGAAATTGCATTTGGTCATACATAAAAGTGTATTAATTCTGTTGTTCGACTATTTATAACCAATTTATAACTCGTAGTAATAATGTACCTCTTTGGATAGGGCGGCTGAGAGGGCGATGATTATGAGGAGGTTGAAGATGGCACTGCCCACTATTGTGCCCACTCCCACGTCACTCTCGAAGGACACTCCCGCAATAGACGTGAACAACTCGGGGGCTGAGGAACCTGATCAACAAAGTGTTCAAACTAGAAGAACTTGATTATTTAGCTCACCGTGTTTTTTCACGAGAGAAAAAATCAACAGGCAAGTTGTTCAGCTGTTTTGAAAAGCAATGTAAATTTCTATGTTAAATGGAATTTGAATGACAAGCACTTTTTAATGACTACAAAAAACCTTCAATTGTTCATTTGAGATACAGAAAAAATGATTTTTCAGCTACTTTAAGCTGAAAACTTTTTCCAAAATAATTTTTTTGCATGTTATTTTCACAACGTAGTCAAGACATATGTTTTTGAGATAAAAAAACTAAAATCATTAAAAACAAGGGGGGAGGGATGAGATTGTTGCGTAGATCCAAAGTTCTTATGAGTTCCACAATTTTTTTTTAAAAAAGTTTTTATTTAAAAAAAGAGCAGTAAGCCAGTGATTCTCAATTGGCAATTTTCGATCTCAAACAAATTAATCAGGAATAAAGTGTTTTTTGTAAAAAATTTTTAACGGCGTTAGTTTTTTTTAAGATGACAAGACTCAGTTCGTCTAAAATGCTTGTTTAAATCTTGCCACTTGGTTGAAGAAAAAATTAATTTTTTTATCTTTCCGAGTATAGAGTAGAAGAGGAAATTTTTCGTTGTTGAATTTCTTGAAAAACACAAAAACTATAAAGCGAAGTGTTTTTGTCACCCAGCTTTCTTTTTTAGGAATCACTTCCTTAAAATGAAAAACAGCTTCTATGCAATTTACGTGAATTACCAAATACTCTGGGAAGTTTTTTTTTGGCTACAGAGTTTTCACTGTGCGTCAGTTTTGCAGCCGAATATAATCGCTTATAATCGGTTATTATTGCATTTCCTGTTTACTGCAATTGCTTTATTAGGTTTCATAAAATGTTACATAATTTTATAATTTACATAGTGTTTATAATTTTTGTCTTATATACCCTGTTTACCCCTCCCTGTTTACCCCCCCCCCCCCCCCATTTTTTCCCTGTTTACAACCCCCCGTTTACCTCCACCCCTTTTTCCTCCCTGTTTACCCCCAGGGGTACCCCCAATGGATTTTAAATGGATTGTAATCCATTATAATGGATTTTAATGGATTGTGTTTTTTTTCGAAAATAATCGATTATAATGAAAATATCATTGATTTCGTGGTCTAATTTTGCCACAATAACGGATTATAATGACAGCAATTTAGGCAACATTTTTCCATTATAATCGACGATTATTATCCATGGAACTCCAGTGCGGGTACAGCTAGAGGTTAAGTGAGGCCTCTCCTTCAAACACTATCATTGCCATGGCAGGATATCAATTACCCGATCAGACGACTTCGAAGTGGAAGCCATACCACTATGCTGCGTGCCACAATATTTTAAGTTGTTTGTTTTTTTTTTTTCAAAATTGTATGTATAATTCTTTTTTGTGCTTAGTTTGGCTCTCTACAATTATAATTTCTTTTGTATCTTCATACCTGCAGCCATAAAAGTGGCGCCAGCCACATCTTCGGTCAAATTGAGTCTCTCAGAGATAATCTCCAGAGAGGGCACGAAGAAGTCATCACAGATGATGGCCAGACCTGAAAAGATGGAAGGGATAATAACTAGAAACGAAAGACCAGTCTGTGAATTGAACTTTTGAAAGATTCGTTTTTTTTTAATTTTACATTTTGGACATGGGGCAGAAAACTTCGACCACACTTATTGATTAAAATACTTCTTAGTTGAAATTACGTGCTTTTTAGCCCTTTTTCACTTTGAAGATATTAAGGACAATTTTTTTTGTCAATTGGGAATGAGCTTCATTGTTCTCATTGAAAGCAGTAGCGGGTGCAGGAAATTTTCAAGAGGCTGTTTTTTTTGAATTTTCTGAACATCCCTTAAACCGTCTAATGTCAGCACCACAATCTATTTTTATAAACAGTGCCAAAGGGGGCTCTTTAGGAAAAGTTTGGCAATCAGAAACATTTGACATGAACATTGAACAATATCTGATCACATATGAAATTCCGTACGATCAAAATGAGCCAAAAATGGAACTATAATGAACTTAATTTCAGCTTATGGCCTCGTTCATTATAAATTAATTCGTTTTCAAGAAGGGAACAGACTTGATTGTTATTTACACAACTCAAAACAAAAATAATATAAAACTTCCCATCTTGGACGAACGCCAAAAAGGCCAGATAGCTGCGTATCAAGTGGTGTCTTCAGACCTGCTCTTACCTATGAATACCCATACGATCAACAGCAGCCATATGATGATGAAGATGACTCTCCTGGCGTCACTTTCCTTCTCCCAGTCACACTCCTCCCAGGGGGCCACATTCCCTCCCTCCTCTCCAGAACGCCTCGATCGACCCTCAATAGAATCTGAAACAAAACTGTAACAAAGTGCTTGAGTCTTTTTGTATAAATTTGCAAGGTTATTTTCAAAATTTAAATTTATAACGGGGGAACGTGGTGAAGTGGTTACGTCTCCGGCTCTCAATCGAAAGGTCGGGTGTGCGAGGCCCACCATAATCCGTGCTTGTTGCTTGAGGGTGAGACAACCTTACCCAGCCCAGAAAAATAACCAAAAAAGTTGCATGTAGTTCTTAAGCAGGGGCACAACAGCGGTTCGTATGTTGGTCCTTTCCCTCGTGGATAAAGGGTCTTAAAACTGATATACATCTTCACACGGTTTTCCAAAATAATAAAAACAGCAGTATTGAAAGCCGCATGTATTCTGACCTGCGAATTCACTGCTCGGTCTAAAATACGATCCGACAGCTGACAAAGTGACGAATAAAGACAGCATTATGGCCACGAAGCCTATCTTGAGCATAATGTACGTTTTCGTCTTTCTGAACTTTCGTCTCTCTGCCCTATAATGCCTCATTCTGGAGAAACTGTTGGAGGGTTTTGCATCTTCCGGGTCAACTCCGTGTCCGGATTCATTTTGAGCCAGTGGACTGTACCTAAGGTCAATTTATCAAAGTTTTCTAATCTGTAAGTTTTTGATTAATTACATTAAATCCTTACTAAGCATCAATTTTTTCCTATTATTCATTCCATTCCAATTGAAAATCCCGTCCTGGCACAAAACGCTAGTCATACATTTTTCCATTAATTTCCCCCATTTTGAAAAAGTGCATGAAATTTTTGACTGTAGCTTTTTTTATATCTTTTTGAAAATTGCATGGCTAGTATTTTTTCTACGTATGGAACTGTATGACTATAAGGTTCCATAAACTGACAAAATCGCAGATTAATAGTTTTACTAACTTAATTGTATCAATGTTTTTGTCCAAACATGATAACCCTGGATAAAAGTAACCCACAAGTTAGAAGGACAGTTAAAAACTCATACAAAAACTATACTGAAGTTAAAACTGAAATAGTAAGATCACGAAATTACTCAATTTTTACAATTAAGCGCTGAAAAACTCTGCGGTACTTTTTTCACCTTTTTCTTCAGCAACAAAAACTAGGTATCCGCTGAATGCAAGAGACCAAACTGAAAAAAAAATCTTTTTTAAAAAAAAACTGCGCTTTAGAAAAAATAAGTCTTTTTTAGAAATTGATTGTTAGTGTGTGTTTTGCGATGAAAACGGTGAGAATTTTTGTGAACTGTAATACAATTTTAAACTTCGTCGTTTCAAATTTAAATAGTTGTGAATTTTATGATTAGCAAGCTTTCTTTTATTAACTTTATAGAAATGCATCACCAGCTGTTTTGGTGTATGAAGGTCGAACCGGGTTCTTTTGATGGTTTTGATAAGCAACGGAGTATTTTATTCTTGACAGAGTTATGTTTATGACAAGATTTATTCAGTTTTTCGGGACAGTAGCCACTTTTGGAAATGGTTTTCTTCAATTAAATACGAGACTGATTGTGCCAAAGGAAACGCTTGAATGTTCCGACTACCCTTGGATGTTGATGAAGTAGTCTTTGTTCGCAATGTTCAAAAAAGAACAAATTTGGTTCTTTTATAATTTTCTATTTTCAGTCATACAGTGTATGCTGCAAACAGATTTGTTTTCCGCGTCCAATATGTGTAAGTTGAAACAAAGTGCTAGCTAAATTCAACAAGACTGCTAGTATCAGGGCGAAGCCCTGAATGTTCCGACTGCCTTTTACGGGTTTATTGAGCATGTAATAAAACAAAATGAATTTTTTTTCTGAAATTTGAATTTTTATATGAAAATCACCCACCCACACGCCATATTAAGTACAAAAGAATAGATTTCGCTGGTAGTAACAATCAATTATGGCAAATAAGTTTATTTCAACCAATTTGGAACGATTTCTAGAACGGATTAAATCTCCGCGTTACAAGCAAGAAATATATTGCGCGTTAATTGTCCCAAATTGGCCAAAATGCCAATCTTTAAACCCCCATAACTTTACGAAAAATGATCACAAGTGAAATAACTTTTCAATTTTAAGCTCAAGCTTACACAACCTTTCGAATGATATTTTAAAATTCCGTCAAAAATGGCTAGTTAAAAAGTCGAAACTTGTCTGAAGAAAAAAAAACCACCCCGAGCACAAATATTCCGTTACTTTCGTATCGAAAGTCGGAACAATTAGGATTGATTTAATGTGCCATGTATGCTTAAGAAGGACAAAAGTCTGCGCCGAAATAAAGTATCCGAAAAAAAGGTCTCATTGTTGTTCCGACTTTCGATACGAAAGTAACGGAATATTTGTGCTCGGGGTGTGTTTTTTACTTCAGACAAATTTCGACTTTTTAAATAGCCATTTTTGACGGAATTTTTTTTATCATTCAAAAGGTATTGTTGTCCTGAGCTTAATTCGGAAAAATATCTCACCTGTGATTATTTTTCGTAAAGTTATGAGGGTTTAAATATTGCCATTTTGGCCATTTTGACCAATTTGGGACAATTAACGCGCGATATAATTAGCGCTATTAACGCGTAAGCGGAGATTTAATCCGTCTTATAAACCGTTCCAAATTGGTTGAACGAAGCTTATTTGCCATAATTGATTTTTTACAATGAACGAAATCTTTCTTTTTTTATTCTTTATATGGCGTGTGGGGGGATGATTTTCATAAAAAAATTTCAAATTTTAGAAAAAAGTTTTCATTTTATTTTGTTTCTTTTAATTTTTCTAATGTTATAACTGCGGCTCCATAAACTTAAAAGGCAGTCGGAACAATCGCGGATTCGCCCTGATACGAGCAGTCTTGTTTGTTTTTGGGCTCATTTTGGAAATTTCTGACCAAAAAAAAATTTTTTTTGGCGCGTGCTCTTCTGAAATGTAGTATAAATTGGCAGCAAAAAGGCCTAGAAAACTTTTTGCATTGTGTGGCCGAAAATCAAAACAGAGCAGTGAAAAGGGGGTTCTTTTAGGTGTGTCGAAACTCTGAGGTTGAGGGGCGTCACCCCTCATTCACACCCCTTAAAATGACACCTCATTCAGAGACATACAAAAACGAGACGACGAGTTTATAATGAAGGCAGCGAAAAGGCCAGGGTTCTTTTCATAACTGATGATGTCAATCTTACCTGGCCAGTCTGTTTGTCGTCATAGCAAGTAAAGTAAACGCAGTGTACAAAAAAAAGAGCCGACTAGATCTCAAGTTTACGAGTTCTCCAGTAAATAATAAGTTATTATCAAACCAATTTTCTATAATAAATCACCAAATGATACGGCTCGCTCAAATGATCAAACATGTTCATTTTACAACAGAATAAGAAACATTTTTTGGCATTGTCCTGCTGAAAACAAAAACAACAAGTCACAATTTGATGGTGGAGTTTAATTGTTACATTACATTATACTTCACTGGTGAATCGAAAAAGCGAACTAACATTAAGCGTCAAAACTTTCATCAAAAAACTGATCACGTAAAACCATATCGTTTTCAACTGTAATTTTATCATAAAAATTTACTTTGCACTAAACTTGACAAATTTATATATGATGGCTTTATGATAGATTTATAATGGTAAAAGCGTAACGTAAACGCTAAACTTCGAACTAACGCTTCTAAACTAAGTAGAATTAAAATCATAATGAGATCTTTTGGCTATTTGTCTCCGTAGAAAAAAAGCAAAGCGGTGTTTGAAAATGGAAGAATGAAACGAGCCTTTGGTTCAGCGGTTTAAGTAGATGAAAAAAGATTTTATATGTGAAAAAAAAACATTAAAGCTAAAGTTCATTCAGAAAATTTTCGGCAATACGTGATTGAATTCAAACTTGATCTATCTTGTGTAAAACGAGCTATTATCAAGAACTTTGAAAACTTCAAAATTTTGATGACAACTAGCACGAAAAAGGACAAAAAATGTATATCTTTTTTTGACCAAAACAAAACCATCTAAAATCTCTTTTCGTGAGGTGCACAGAATGACTCATCAAAATATCGTTTGTTTTATTTTTTTTGGGTTAGAATGATAAAATAGTTTATAGGCGGAAAACATCGGAGACGCACACAATTAGTTAAGTACTAGCGCACTGACGCAGTTGGAACGTTTCAAAAAAAAACAGTCGAAACCAGACGGGGGGATTTTATAAAAATAGAAGTTGAAGAGTTTTTTTTAAGTCGACCAAATTAATTTTCCGAGCTCTCCCAAATCAATATAAAAACCCTATTTCCACCAAATTTTGCCCTTTTTCCGCAGGCAATTTTTGGCAGAAAACAAGCGAAAAAAAAAAGCGTTTTAAGGCAGTTCTTGAAAAGTTTTGACCATAAAGTCATTTTTTTGGCGCGCGCTCCCCTTAAAATTAAAATGTATTGGCGTCAAAGGCGCTTTTAAAAACTTTTAAGTCGTTCTGCCCATAAATCAGTTCTTAAAATACCAAGGGGTACCAAATCTGCTACTGTCGAAACCAAAATCTAATTTCTAATGTCTAATTTTTCCTGAATTTTTCCTGTTTTTCTAATTTTTCCTGTAAGGTGAACGAAAAAATTCTCGATCAACTTTGAACAGCCGTATTTCTTACCTGTACGATTCGTAATAAGCGGCACACCATCTGCGGTGCTGCTGAATTCAGTCACCAGATAAAAACCAATTTAGACTGCTTTATAAAAATGCGAAAAACGATGTCTCGAATCAAGCTTTTATCGGTTCGCGTTCTTTTGGATAGCGAAAACTGCGTATGATTTAAGTTAAATGAAACTCAATATTGCTATTGTGCTACTATCACTTAGGTTTTTGCGATCAGTGTAACCTCGGCCTTTTTTGTTTTGTGCTTTCGGTAAACATCTCATAAGGAAAAACATGGTAAATGATCACAGTAGGTATCATGTTAAAAACCATGTTTTGTCAGTTAGTGAAAAAAAATGCAAAAAATTTAACCACATGAGTTACTTTGACGAAATCATTTTATGTCAAATGAAAAACAAACTGGCAAATTCGTCTGAATTTTTTAGCAAATTTTTTTGCAGTTATTCTGTTTTGCTATGTTTTGTAAACACTGATCTATATTTAGAAAAGTCCGAGTCATTTACTGTGATAATCAGTGATTTTGAAAATTTCTTGCGTTACTATAAAATACTGATACATTTTACACTCTATTTAGGACAGCATTTTGTATACCAACATCTGGATGAGATCTCAATGTGAATAACTTTCTGGATTTGATAAAATATTTTCCCCATTTGAATCTATTTTACAATTATCCGCGATACCGACAAGAAAAAACACCACATACTGGAGTTCCTTGGAATAAAATCGATTAACTTAGTGTTTTATTGTCAGCGTTTATACAAGTGAACAAGACAGGTCGAATCAGAGCCCAGTCTTTAATGTTCCGACTGCCCCTTAAATCATTTTTGGCTGATACTATCAAAAATCAAGTGATATAGTGCGGGATACCTCGCCAGACTTGAATATTTCATAATAAACATAACAGAAAACGACCAGCGAAGTAGAAAACGATCTGCTTACTTAGACTAGCTTTAAATTGAACAACCTTAGCGACTATCTAACATAGTGATGTGCCGCATGGCAAGCGCCACATCGAACCCCCAAACGAACCAAAAAAAGTCTTAATGAAAGAAAACCAATGCAAGTTTATGGCATCGAATGTCGGAGCAAAAACAATCGATTTTAAGCAAATTAAAATGAAATAAATTTGTATTATTTATTAAAGCAATTATCTATTACAAACTAAAAGTATTTCAATATTTTTCATTTTTATAGACAAAGACAAAAACTCCTTTATAATCGACTTTTTTTTCACTTTAATGGGATTCAAATTTCAGCGCACTCAAAGTCGTTTAAACGTTTGAAAGCTAAACACCTGTAATTCAATTTTAGTTTTTTCTTCTCTGCAATTTTGATTTTTGTTACTTTTTCAGAACTTAGAAAAAAATGCAGTTTATTAGCTGTAACCTTTTACAAATTGTCCAGCAATAGCTTCATCGACAATTTTCTTAAATAAACTTGTGGAATGTGATAATTATGAATGCAGGTATCTAGGTATTTATATTTATAGATTGGGACAGTTTACTGTTTGTATATAAATATTGCACGCCAAAAAATGCAATTTTTAGACAAAACTCCAAAGTTGCCTTTTTCTGATTTGTATTTTTAACAAAATTCCTAAAATTGACGTTGGGGAAGGGGTGAAAAACCAAACCGCGACAGGAGGAGGGTGAGGGTGGGGGTTGGTTCTGATGGGGAAGGGATGTTTCAAAAGGACAAACACTGGGACTGGGGGGGGGGGGGGTTGTTGATAATGGAAACTTTTTTCCGTATAATACTTTTTCTGCAAGTTTGCTGCCTTACATATTTGAAAAAGACAGATTTTCATGCTAAATTTTGAATAACGCCCAACAAATATAGAGTGAAAAAAATCCGCTTATTTTGATTTTGAAAATATTATAATCGATTTTAAATTGATAAAAAGATGGAATATAATTGCTTTTTCCATTTTGTTGTCTGTGGGCTACATGTGTTCGATTATATTGCTACCATTTTAGACCAAAAAATTTTGGCTGATTTTTGTTTTTTCATTTTTTTATTTAGGGTTTTTGAAGCGTTTCTATCACTAAAAGCGAAAAAAGAGACTCACCAAAGTAATTAGATTCCAGAACTTGAAGATCACTACGAAAAACTGAATTGCACAGTCTGGAAGGTCTTGTATCATAGCTCAGAAAATTCAGAAATTGATATCTTTTTTGCGTGGCAATGGTTTGATCTAGTTTGAAGTAACTCACTTCGACAAAAGTTGACTTCAATTCGCTAATTATATGTATTTGAGGCTTGAGAAAAATTTTTGCTTCGAATCAGTCTAAGTTTTTCAGTTTCAATTGTCAGAGTGTTTCCGTTTTTCCATTAATCTTTTAAGTTTTTTATACATGATTTTATATCAGAATTCCACTTCTTTCTGCACTCCCTGAATCTATGATTTCTTGAAAGTTTTTCAAAAATCGACAACCTGCGCTTGTTAGAAACAGCAGGCGATTGATTTTTTAGCAAGCTATATTTGTTATTCAAAGGTTCTTTGGGTTGCTTTTACTCCAGCAAAAAAATGGCCACTTTCCTATCAGAAATTTGAATATATATTTTTTTAAACTTAGTTTTGAAAAATACATTAATTGTTTTCACTTGTTTTTTTTAGACAACCGTAGTCTGTCGAGGCAAAACTTGAGAGCAACTTTTCCAAAAAATTTTTTTTGAAATCTTGCGTTTTTGTTTGACAAATTTGAAGAGCAGCCAATTTGAGAGCAGTTTTTTCCAAAAAAGAAAATTGAAATTTTCTGTTTTTGTTTGAAAAATTTGAAGAGCAACCAATTTGAAAGCAACTTTTCCAAAAAAAATTGGAAATCTTGCGTTTTTGTTTGACAATTTTGAAGAGCACCCAATTTGAGAGCAACTTTTCCTAAAAAATTTAAAACATTGCGTTTTTGTTTAACAAATTTGAAGAGCACCCAATTTGAGAGCAGTTTTTCCAAAAAAAATTGGAAATCTTGCGTTTTTGTTTGACAATTTTGAACAGCACCCAATTTGAGAGCAACTTGTCCAAAAAAATTGGAAATCTTGCGTTTTTGTTTGACAAATTTGAAGAGCACACAATTTGAGAGCAACTTTTCCAAAAAAATGGAAATTTTTCCTTTTTGTTTGAAAAAATTGAAGAGCACCCAATTTGAGAGCAACTTTTTCAAAAAAAAAAAACTCTTGCGTTTTTTTTTGACAAATTTGAAGAGCACACAATTTGAGAGCAACTTTTCTGAAAAATTTGGAAATCTTGCGAAATTTAAAATCTTGCATTTTGTTTGTCAAATTTGAAGAGCACACAATTTGAAAGCAATTTTTCCAAAAAAATTTAAATCTTGCTTTTTTGTGTGACAAATCTGAGGAGCACACAATTAGAGAGCAACTTTTCAAAAAAAATTTAAAATCTTGCGTTTTTGTTTGACAAATTTGAAGAGCACCCAAATTGAGAGCAATTTTTCCAAAGAAATTGGAATTCTTGCGTTTTTGTTTGACAAACTTGAGGAGCACCCAATTTGAGAGCAACTTTTTCAAAAAAAATTAAAATCTTGTGTTTTTGTTTGAAAAATTTGAAGAGCACACAATTTGAAAGCAACTTTTCCAAAAAAATTTAGAATCTTGCGTTTTCGTGTGACAAATTTGAGGAGCACACAATTAGAGAGCAACTTTTCCAAAAAAATTTAAAATCTTGCGTTTTTGTTTGACAAATTTGAAGAGCACCCAAATTGAGAGCAAGTTTTCCAAAGAAATTGGAAAACTTGCGTTTTTGTTTGACAAACTTGAGGAGCACCCAATTTGAGACCAACTTTTTCAAAAAAAATTAAAATCTTGTGTTTTTGTTTGAAAAATTTGAAGAGCA